CTGTCAGGAGACATCATGGCACCTCCACATCCAGCAGGGCCATATCCTCGTTTTCATGAGTTCCCAGCTGACCAGAGCAATTTTCCTCCAAACCCAACATTTCCATTACCTTTAGACCCGCAAGATATGTGCAGTGGAGGGGGGTTGATGGGGGCAGCTAGTGGTGCCATGGCTGTTCGTCCACCTCATGCAGACATGCAGCTTGTTCCCTCATCTTCTGTTTCATCATCTGTGACATACTCGAGATCAACCTCTAATCGTAGTAGTGGCAACATTGGTGCAAGCACTAGTGTTGGGGGTAGCATCAGCAGCACCACCAATCATGGAATTGGGAGTAGCAGTGGAATTAGTAGCAAACGACCACGTTATGGAGATACCAACATGGTAGGTGGTGGGATGGGTGGATCCACCAACCTTTTAGAGGGTGGGGCTCTCTCCCACATTTCTCTCCATTCCTTCACACCACCTTGTGATGACCCTTCTTTGGTCCACTCAAATCTCTTCCCTGGAACTAGTGCACGTCACCAGGGCAACTTCCTCTTGGGCCACGACAACCTCATGCCTATCAACACTGCCCAGTACCCTGGCACCAGCAGTGGGACAGGAACAGGTGGCACCAGCCAGTTAGGAACAGGAGTTACTGGTCCTCCAGGAACCCGGACAGGATCATCTGTAGTGCTTCCACCTGGTGCACCTGGACATGTTCCTTTCAGTCCCCTTCGCATGATGGACCGTCAGCAGGTGAACATGGCACCACCTGTAGCTCCTCATCTTTCCTCATCATTGTCAAACTTCAATTTAACAAGCATCATCCCGGAAATAGATGGGAAGGTGAGGACTTGAAACCATTTGTAAAAGTTTATTTTAACAGTGCAGTACAGTATTATGATTTTTGTTAAATCAGAATGCTATGTATAATTCTCACAGTATCAGGTACTGTACATCAGTAGTTCCTAAACTTTTTCACATGACTCCCCCTCCCCCTTTGTTTTTTACCAAACCCTCTCCATTTTTAAGTATTATCAATTGAATCAATTTTACTGTGTACTCATATTTATATTACTTTAAAGATCAACTAACATGTAATTATTTTATACAAGTATCTTGTGCATATGGGGAAGATTAAAATATACTGTACTATACATACTATACTAAGAAAAAATACTATTACAGTTTTATTGAAAATTTCCTAATAAAGAAAAAATAGTTAATACAGTACAGTACAGGTATATGTTTTTCACATGGCCTCAGGCCCCCCTGTACCAACCTCATGCCCCCAGTTTGGAAACCACTTTTGTCGATTGTCAGTATCATGTAATATTGGCATGTAACACTTATTCATTAGTCAGTGTCATATTGTTAGTCAGAATTATAGGGTATTGAACTTTAATTTGTGACATGTGTTGCAGAGTGGGGACAACAGTGGGGGTATGGCATCATCATCACGAGGGGTAGGCCTTGGGAATAATGAAATTCTCGGTGCAACAATACCAAGCCAGGCACGTCTACCCCCTATGCCATCATCGCTCCTGCCACCATCCGAGCCACTCAAGGGTCTTCCATCAGACACTAACAGATTACCTCCAGCTGTGCTCAACAACTCTATGAATAATATCTTCACTCATTCACCACATCACCAGGCAAGCTAAATACACTTTTAGAGAATTCAGAATTGTGTAAAACTGGGACATTTCAGCAGTACAGCAAATAGACATAGCTTTGGGTACCTTGGTTTGATTCAGAAACTTAATACAGGTTGTACCTCTCTAGTCCGGCATTCTGTGGTCCGGAAACTCCTGTGGTTCGGCACGATTTTAGTTTATCCAATAGGTAGATAAGCAGCTTTTTTTTTTTTTACTTACCTGCATCATTATTATTATTATTACAGGAGTATTAAATTTTTGCCCCTCAGGCCCCAATGTGGGTCTGTGACCTATGCCCGGGTGGGCTAATCCCCATAAAAAAACAAAACAACAAAGCCGCGGGAAATTAAGGTTTGTTTACATCCGGCATATCTCTCTCTCTCTCTCTCTGCTTGTCTATACAGAGTACAACATTTAACCCTTCAATATATATGAGCAGTAAATAAGTGTTGCTTTCATATTCTTATGTAGAGTAATGACGATATGTTTTCACATCTGCGCACTTACATACACGCAGTCTCACTTTTTTTTCTTTACCATTAATGGTTAGCTACTTATATTGCTCCATTTACAAGGTATTACATTAAATAACATTACTTCAAACAACCATATTAATTTTTTTACATTAATTTTACTACAGCTACAATCAGGGTCTTATTTTCTTCAATTTTATATGTAGAACCAATCAGTCACTGGTTTTGTAAGCTCTAACGAAAACAATGCCGGCAGCCGTCTCGTCTCCTCGTGTTAATATTCCATGTATTATTAATGACTTGTATTGTTCATTTTGCACACACAAACATTAATTCAATAAAAAAAATCGGAAACATTAATTAAAATATATATGAACGGTAAATTAGTGTTGCTTGCATATTCTTATGTAAAGTAATGACGATATGTTTTCACGTGTGTGCACTTACATACGCGATCTCTCTTTTTCTTTACCATTATTGTTAGCTACTTCTATTGTTCCATTTATTAACATTAAATAACATTACTTAAAACAACCATATTAATTTTACTACAGCTACAACCAGGGTCTTATTTTCTTCAGTTTTATATGTAGAACCAGTCAGTCACTGGTTTTGTAATCAACGAAAACAATGCTGTCTCATTTCCTTGTGTGTTTTAATATTCTACGTATTATTAATGAACTGTATTGCCCATTTTGCACACAAACATTAATTCAGTCAAAAAGACATTCAGTAATAAACAATAATGAATCTTTTGTACATAAGAGAAATGACGCTGTTTACATGATTGTGCACGTCGTCTGAATGTTGGTGGGCCGTTCAAACACGTCGAAATTCGAGTTTCCGCCGTCAAAATTTTAAATTGTTTTGTTTTTTGTGTGTTCAAATAAAAAACGTTGAATTAAAAACTCACGAAATTTGAGAAGCTACTGTACGACATTTAACCCTTCAATATGTCTTCAAAGAGACCATGAAGCAGAGAAAGTGGTGCTAGTGCTTCCAAGCATAAGCACAAGTCACTATCTATCTAGGAAAAGGGTGAATTTCCATGGTCTGGCACCGGTCAGGTCCCGAGGTTGCCAGACTAGAGAGGTACAACCTGTACTCCGAAATAGAGATACAGTTTAAGTACAGGTAGACCTCTTATAATAGAGAAAATACATTCCTGAGGAGCAATTATCTCTGATACAATGCTGTCCATTACTGCGCAGTCGTCTCTGAGATGACTGATGTATTTTGGCATGTTAGAAACTTAACACTTGTGGGCACTTTTATTACTTATGGTTATTTTTACATGTTACAGTATGTGCTTTTAATATTATTTATGCATCATATTTGGGGACACACAGACTTAGTATTAAACAGTGGATAATGCAGACAACTTATATGTGAAACAATTGATGTATAATTAAAATTTTTTCCTATATTTGTTAGCAACGCATAAGTGACATGAGGTACAGTATACCAGTACAGTGGTCCCTCGGTTAACAAATGCCTCGGTTAACGAATTATTTTCCATAAGACTCTTCAATTCAGTTAACCAACAAAAATTTGATTAACAAAATTCTTACGAAAACATGTCAACATGTTTTGGCTTGCTCATCAGCTGGTAGTTTAGCTGCCAATACAGTAATCGGTTCTAGGACTTACAATCTTTCCCATTGGAGTATATATCAAGAAAGTTGTGCTATTCAATATTTTTCCAAGTTTTATATTAAAATTATTAGTCATTTTAACACTTATTTAACATAATTGCAGTACAGAGAACTAGTTTTTGGTGCACCCATCAGCCACTTCACTTACCCACCAAGGCGTCTGTTTATGTCTCTGTTCAGTGGAGGAAACATCTTGCTTGTGGCTCTCTTGAACATAAATTATTTTTACGTTTTTACAGTACAATTATTGGTCATTCTGATATTTATTTAACATATTGATAATATATAGCACAGTGCAGTATTGATTTAAAGAAAATAATCTTGAATTACACCTAGTGAACTTAAAATTTTATTGGTGAAATGACTGCATCAAGCATGGGTCCCCTGGAAGGTGATTTCTCCTCCATCCCCACTTCCTTCTCTTCTCCCTTCTCCTCCACCCCTACTTCTAATTCCCATCATCATCAACCAGGAGCCTTCTACATACACACCTCAAAGTAAGTGTACTTTACTGCATTTTTTTTTTTTTTTTTACTTTGTATGTACTTTTCAGTGAGCTGGAACCAATTACCCAATATCCCATTGAAACAATGAATTCGGTTAACGAAATTTTTGGTTAACGAACGACCTTCTGGAACGAATTGTGTTCGTTAACCGAGGGACCACTGTACAAGGTATAGCGAGGACCTCCTGTATTATTTGCCAAATAACTAATGACTGGAGTTTCACTTTGGGCAGTTGTAAACAATGTTTTATTATATGTACCTCACAGTTTGTCAACAGTTTAACAATACAGTATCATAAAGTTAATTTTATGTAGCCGAGTGTATACAATGTTTACTTGAAGGTTGAATCCTTTTCTGCTTACTGATGTAATAATGTCTCCATCAAAGGTATTTCAGAATACAGTATACAAAGTAATTTTGGGCACATGTACTGCCCAAGATAGTACTGTACCTAAGCATATTTTATACCACAATTCAGCTGACCACAGAATTTACAAGATAAAAAAACTTTCACATGAACTATTGATTCGGACTTGGAGAATATTTGGCACGTATCCCTGCAGCACTCAAATTTGTTCCTGAGCTCGGAGAATATTTGGCACGTATCCCTGCAGCACTCAAATTTGTTCCTGAGCTCACATACTGATTTGTTTCTTCGTACGGATGAAAGGTGAGAGAGTTCGGAGTTGAAAATGGCAAAGCAGCCCAACTTATTATGTCCCCTGACCAGCTTATATTTTCTGAATTTTGTCAGGTTTGAATGCTCCCGAGGAATCTTCTAAGAAATTAGTCTTCATATTCATCAGTGTTATTAAGTCTTCTAAATTAATTGCACTTTTTTTTTGTGAAGGGTGAGGACTTACCAGGTACTGCAGTTTTTAATTAAGTTTTTTCTTACAGGTTGGTCTCAGTCTGAATTCTTCTTTACCACTACCACCAACTTCATTCGCAGGCATCAACTTCCCCACACCTGACCATTAATTATGAGGATGTTTGGATATTGGAGAGAAAGAGCCCAAAGAGTATCGAAGGTAACATAGACCTGATGATTATATGACTATTACAGAAGTAGTTTGTGAAGTTTAGGGGAGGTATAAAAAATTTTGGTACTGCAAGAGTAAGAGGTATATGTATCACAAAGGCACGGTTATAGGTTGAAGAATCACATCCCCAGCACAGTATTGGCATAAAGTGAGGAAGAAACACTGGGTGAATAACTCGCTGCACATTTAATGAAACATGTAGGAATGCATAAAAAAAAAAAAAATTCATTTGTTGGGAAAAGCTTCTTCCTCACTTCTGTTATATGACAATAAAACAGTAAGCATGTAATAAATCTAAGATTACAGAAAAGTATCTTGCAGTATAAGTTAGGGGTAATGATTAATTTATCGAGCCATGTACAGTACTTGTTCTCCCTCTCTTGGCTGTACATCAGCTGATGTTTCTATACATTTAGTTGGTTCTCACCTAGGGGTTGATTAATTTTCCAGCGATGGCATTGCATATACTGAACTTGTTGTAATAATCAAATATTTTGGTCATAAAAATTAAATCCGTGATAAATCAAAACTGTGACGTGCAAATTTGGAGTAAATGAGGACTACGTTTAATGAATACAAAAACAGAAGTTCATCAGCTTTATTATTAGTGATATTTGTCCTGTAATAACAGTTTAAAACTGTCTTGTGTAGGAAAAAGTGATACTTAAAGTAGGAAGACAATAATTGTACTGCTGGAGCTCCTTGCAAAGTCTTGCATGCAGTAGGAGAATGTAGAGACTTTGTAATTGTCATCATATTCCCAGCCTGTTAAGAGGAGTGGGTTACCCGGTACCTCCATGTCACTGATGTTTAGCCTCTAAACAGTATTGACTGATCATGCCAATAGTGACACAAATCATTGATGCACAAGCATCTTGCCAACGGGATGAGGTAATTAACCCAGTAGCTGCTGAATGCCAAGACTCGGGGATCAGCACGTACTTCCCCAGCCACCTTGCTTCATGACAAGAAAAGGCTTACAAAGCTGAAATGACATTCTTTTATTAAAGAAATTATTTAAAACATTGGGTTGAACAAAAATCAGGGCAAATGATAAAATTAACCCAGTAAAGAATGTAAATAAAAATATAAGATGAGAGATTTGTAAAACAAAAAAAAAGCAGATTGCTCATCATTACTTAATTCTGCATAAGGCTCTGAATCAGAGATAAGTTTTATAATTTTACTGTGATACTGTATATATATATATTCCCATATATAACTTATAGCTCAGTGATAGAACATTCGCCATACAAGCGAATGTTCCCAGTTCTATCTCCCTGCGGGAGTTGAGACTTGGGTTACCTTCTTGTACACAAACCATTACTTACTCGGCAATAAAATCGGTACACTAAGCTGCACTTGCTGATAATGGAACAGTTCTCCCATAAACTTCCATCTTGCCAATGGGATGGAGCAACCCATTAGCTACTGATTGTTAAAAATCAGTAGATCAGCACCTGCCTAGCCAAGCTGCATCATTGCAGAAAATGGCTTAAAAAAAAAAATAAAAAATCACACACACACACACACACACACACACATTCTTTTTCTGACTTATGTCCTCTGCCAAGTAGCTTTTCAGAATACTGTATAGTATTGACTGATAGTTGGGCAATTGAGGCATTCTTTGTCCTTGAATAGCTCCTAATTACCATAACAATCCCAGTAGTAGCAATGTAACATTAAGGGTATGCTGATCTTCCATACTTCTCAATCACACTATTGGTCCAAAATAGGGGGATTTGGTGCTACAATTTAATTTTAATATTTGTATTCATCATTTCAACACTTTTCAACTTACTAGCCATTTGGGTGGTTGGTCTGTTCTTTGTTACTTTGAATTTAATTGTCCAATTTTAGTACAAGAGGAAATCGGAGTACCCAGAGGAAAACCTGCAATGTTTGGCGATGTCACTTTAGAGAACATTTTTCTCACGTGTGTACTGGGCCAGGACTCATACCCATGACTCAGTAGCGAGATATACTTACGGTACTGTTGTACCAACAATTGTCCTCGAGACTGAAAACTATATTAAGAGCCTTGTCTGACTGATCAGCTCACAGTACTTAAAGGTATGGCACTGCTGTTGTTTTATTGGTATCACTTGCAATGGACAGTACAGTATTTGAAATTAGCGACATATCAAAAGCAAATGTGCACAGATGGGCTTTTCTGTGGACATCTCGGTTACTACAAAATCTTTAGTGATTTAAGGACTACTGTATGGTGGGAAGTACTGCAGTTACTGATGTTATCAGCTAAATAAGACTGTTTCTAGATCATATATTTGTTGTTACATTGGGTTTATTAACATTATTTTCCAGTTTTGCAGTCTGGGCTAGTCTTTGTTAGAATGGCTAGCTTTACAGTTCCAACGTTAGTGACATAAAACCTGCTAACACAGTAACTCGGCTTACATTGTTATGTAGTTTTTTCTGTATGAGGACTAGTTGTATACAAAGACCAGGACTTGCTCCAGTGTCAGTAGATTCTGAATCGAAAGTTTCAGATACCTGTACTTAAGCGTCAGCAGGTACAAATAAGCCCGTGGTTATTCTGGAAGTACAATTTCAATGTTTTAATCTGAATAAGATATGTATTAAATGTTCTTTTGGATTCACACTGTGATCAAGGTTCCTTATATGATTATCAAGAACTCACTTTGTCTCTTCCATTGGATATTGTTGTTTGCCCAAATGAGTTGGTGTTTCTGGTAATCAGGTAGCTTTCTTAAGGAATAGGTTTTCCTATCAATGGGAAAGTCTGGTCTCTCCCAGAGTTAAACATGAAATCTTAACTATTGACATGATCTGTGATATTGATCACACAACTTCTAATGAGAACTAGTGTCTCAAAGACAACTTTTACCCCAATTTTGGGTTTATGACAAGATTAGGTGGTGTTTAGGATTGGTATACCCTCCAAGTTCAAATACTACTGCTGGGCTTATTAAATGGGGACATAAAATACCTCAACTGCCAGCCTATATAACAAGAAACTACCTGGCTATGGGTTCTGCCAGAGAAAGGGATTTCAGGGTCAATTTAATATGAGTGTGTGAACATGCAAGCATATGAGTGTGTATACTGGGGGTCCCCGGGTTACGAACATGTTCCTTCCTGAGGATGTTCTTAAGTCGGATTTGTACGTAAGTTGGAACACATGCTATGTGCATACCGTACTTACAGAACAATGTTTGAAATCCCATTATTTCATAGCCTAAGTTCTTATATACATAAAAAATCACTTTATTTAAGAGAAAAGAAGAAATAGAAAGACCAAATACAATAAATGAAAGGAAAAAATAAGTCATCAAGTAAATAAAATACAGGTTGTACCTCTCTAGTCCGGCAACCTCGGGACCTGACCGGTGCTGGACCATGGAAATTCACCCTTTTCCTGGATAGATAGTGACTTGTGCTTATGCTTGGAAGCACTAGCACCACTTTCTCTGCATCATGGTCTATTTGAAGACATATTGAAGGGTTAAATGTAGTATAGTAGCTTCTCAAATTTCGCGAGTTTTTAATTCTTAACGTATTTTATTGGAACAAAAATAAATAAATAAAAATTGTGACGGCGGAAACTTGAATTTCGACGAGTTTGAACGGCCCGCCAACGTGCAGACGACGTGCATAATCGTGTAAACAGCGTCATTTCTCTTATGTACAAAAGATTCATTATTGTTTATTACCGAGTGTCTTTTTTATTGAATTAATGGTTGTGTGCAAAATGAGCAATACAATTCATTAATAATACGTAGAATATTAAAACACACGAGGAAATGACACAGCATTGTTTTCGTTGATTACAAAGCCAGTGACTGACTGGTTCTACATATAAAACTGAAGAAAATAAGACCTTGGTTGTAGCTGTAGTAAAATTAATATGGTTGTTTTAAGTAATGTTATTTAATGTTCATAAAAGGAACAATAGAAGTAGCTAACGATAATGGTAAAGAAAAAGAGAGATCGCGTATGTAAGTGCCCACACGTGAAAACATATCGTCATTACTTTACATAAGAATATGAAACCAACACTTATTTCCTGTTCATATATATTTTAATTAATGTTTCTGAATTTGTTTTTATTGAATAAATGTTTGTGTGTGCAAAATTAACAATACAATTTATTAATAATACGTGGAATATTAGAGGAGAAGAGACAGCTGCCGGCATTGTTTATGTTAAAGCTTACAAAACCAGTGACTGATTGGTTCTACATATAAAACTGAAGAAAATAAGACCCTGATTGTAGCTGTAGTAAAATTAATGTAAAAAAATTAATATGGTTGTTTGAAGTAATGTTATTTAATGTAATACCTTGTAAATGAAGCAATACAAGTAGCTAGCCATTAATGGTAAAGAAAAAAAAGTGAGACTGTGCGTATGTAAGTGCGCACATGTGAAAACATATCGTCGTTACTCTACATAAGAATATGAAAGCAACACTTATTTACTGCTCATATATATTGAAGGGTTAAATGTTGTACTCTGTATAGACAAGCACAGAGAGAGAGAGAGAGCAGCCGAACTGCCGGATGTAAACAAACCTTAATTTCCCGCAGCTTTGTTTTTTTTAAGGGGATTAGCCTACCCGGGCATAGGTCACTGACCCACATTGGGGCCTGAGGGGCAAAAATTTAATACTCCTGTAATAATAATAATTCAGAAAAAAAAAAAAAAAAAAGCTGCCTATCTACCTATTGGACAAACTAAAATCGTTCTGGACCACGGGAGTTTCCGGACCACAGAATGCCGGACTAGAGAGGTACAACCTGTACTATAAATTTCAAGGTTAACCTCGTTCGTATCAGCGAGTGTTCGTAAGTCAGACGTTCGTAAGTCGAGGACCCTCTGTACGCACATTCCCATATTTAGGGGTATTAGTGTTGATGCTAATTATTTATGGCAATTGTATAATTATTTATCCATGAGAATTTTCTTTGAACTCCCAGTGATGTTTTTGTCTTTTGGCACATTCATGCACCATCACTTGGAAGCAAGACATTTTCAAGATCAAAATTTTCAGTATCATCTTATCTTATTAAGTTTTCCCTCTTCCTTCTGTCTTTCTCCAGTGTTGCCTGCACCTCTACCTCTTATTTTCTGCCATGTGTTTACCCTCTAAGGCAGTGGTCCCCATCCTTTTGTAGGCTCTGGGCCACATTTATCATTGTAAATATAGTGGAGGGCACCAAAGCTTTGGATCTACATTCAAGAAAAAATTATCTCGTATATACAGTGTACTGTACAGTTATTTGCAGTTTTACATGTATAACTGTTACCAGTTACATACTTTTTACATTTACTCTTGGACAGGACGCGTGTATTTACCCCAGTGAGAAGGCTGGCTCTCTCTTTGTGCTCGGTCTGGGGTAAATACACGACAGACTCGGGACAAGCGCGAAGTTCTTCTCTCTCTCTCTCAAACTATAAAGTTGTATCAAGTTATTACATATTTTCATTAATTTCACTCTTACAAAGAATCCAAAAATAATTCACAATTTTTAATAAACCCTTGCGGGCTCCATAAGCTCCCATGAACTACAGGTTGGGGCCCACTGCTCTACTTTAGGCATTGGAAGGTAGTCACAGATGACATGGTTGCCTCTCAATCTTCAAATCTTTTAACAAATTAATTACTTAAAAAATCTAATTGTATCAATTTATGGCAGCGGTTTCTTTATTAGCATCAGTCTTCTTCAAGTATTCTGAGCACTACTGTTGGTCCTCATCTTGTAATAATGTGGAGGCAGCTAGTACAAAGAATGTTTCAGGGAGGTTGTACAAGTGTTGTTCCTGTGCTTTTAAGTGGGGAAAAAAAATCTTGGCAACAAATTGAAAACTTCAATGGTAAATAATATTCCTTGTAAAAAGTTCAACATTTTATAACAAATCACAGCAGATTGTATATCCATATGCTGGAGAGAAAGATCAGAGGTGCAGCACCCTAATAAAAAATCTAACATGTAAATGTAATAAAATATGTTTAAATCAGTTGTACAGATAATTGTTATTTATAAATAAATATTTACATGACATACACTCAAGGAGTGAATAATTAACCATAATAGAATCCCTCTGTGCTCTCCTATTATAGAGGCAAATCCAAAACGGGTTATTTAGGGGGAAGGGAATGCACACAGTCACTAGAAGAATTTTGTTTCAACCCTATATGCATGATCTGAGCCAGGTGATCTGGTAACACTATGATAAAGATTCAGATTCGTTGTTAATGACTAGTTATTTAAGTTGTATTACTACAGATTACCTCAATCATTTGTTGAATATAACCGATTGGTATCAGATGAACAGTCCCAGATATTTCTGTGTTAGACACTCGCCCACAAATATAAACCCCATGAATGTGAGACTAGGGAATTTGAAGCAACAAGCAGAAATTCATTTATGTGGTAATAATGTGTGTGTGTGTGTGTGTGTGGAGGGGGGCTAGGGAGTGTAAATGGAGATGGAACGGGGTGAATAAAATTTAAGAATATGGATATACACTTGTATTAAAGATATATATGATTAATATGAATGGACAATATTTAAATAACCACATGTTTGCAGATGACTTTCTCTTACTAAATGAATCATGAGAAAATGTAGGCAGATGACCGAACAGCTACTCAAGAGAGTTTGCAAGTGAAACAGCCATTCTTATTTGTGGTAAAACAAGGGTGGCATGTCGGGAAATGTTCTCACTGGAACATCTTCATTTCTTGTCAATGTAAGTCATATTTTACATGCAGGTAATTTTACAATTTAAATGATTAACAATCCTAATCATAATATTCAGCCCTAATGAATATACTATAGATGTCAGGTGCACACTGTAACCAGCCAACATGAGATTGATAAGGTCACTTAACATCAATATACTCATCACATTGCCTGGCAACGTTGTTCCTTTACCATTGTTGTATACACTTTGCTCTCATTAAATGACCGAACTAATGGGGCTGCCTATGTCACATTATACACTTATCCTTACCCTGGGTCATGCTTCCCTCCAGCCACCCATGACAACACTCACCCAGGATTACCACTAACTACCACACATGGTGAATTCAGTATTCCAATATGAACTTCAGCCAAATATTTGACTTTTGCTGAAATAGAGTTTGTCATTACCATAAGCAATGAATGTGGATTGGAAACTTTAAAATTTCAGTGCATACATAGTATTTATATATATTGGTGTGATATTCAGATTCATTCCATTTTACCTAGTACTGTACTGAGGATTATGCTTGCTAAATGTTTTATACACGTATTGATTTTCAGTTGATTGGAATTCATTATTGGTCATTAATATTTTCTCAGTCATCCCACATACTGTTTACACTGTGTTATGCCCGACATTGTTTTGTGTATGTTTTTTAATTTTTGTGTGCGGGATGACAATGGTATGTTTAGTGCTTTGTATGTATGTACAGTATGTACGTGTGACGATGTGTAATCCCCGAGATATGCTAGGGACTGTCAGTTAATGGAAAATGTCCAAAGGAGGACCACCAGACTGGTGCCTGCACTTCGGTACCTCAGCTACCCAGAGAGATTAGAGAGCCTGCAACTGCCTAGCTTATACTACAGATGGGCAAGGGTTAACCTAATTGAGGTGTATAAACATCTCAAAGGGCACCACAAGGGGTCACAACTCAAGGTTGAAGAAGCCGCCAGTCCAGAAAACTGCGAGGGTGAACTTTATTGGAGTGAAAGTTGTGAACTCTTGGAACAACCTGCCAGTGTGTGTTGTGACAACACCAAGTGTGAACTGTTTCAAGACCAGACTTGACCAACACTGGAACAGGTTCAGATACATTCAGGAGCCAGTGTATGCCCAGTACTTGCCAACAGTGCAAAACAGAGACATGACCGACTGCCCAAGCGACTAACGAGCTGATCAGTGGTGAAGAGGATAAAATTAAAAAAAGTAAAAAGTATCACAATGCTCCCACATTTACAAGTACATTACCATAATATTTATGAATATCAATTCCATTTGTTATAATTCTTTGCAAAAAAGTCAGTGAAAAGGATGGTAGTAATGTATCCATTAACCATAAAAAAGACTTGTTGGCAGCTGCCGTATGACAACTGTTGTTTATAATTGTTCATCTGGATCCCCAGTAATGAACCATCCAGCAGCAATGTTACATTCTTCTCAGTAACTTTTTTTTTTTGCTGTGTTTTGTACATCTGATGCCAATTAATTACATTCAACAAATGATTCTGAGGCAATCTGTAATAATACAACTTAACTAGTCATTAACAACAAATCTGACTCTTCCCCATACAGTGTTACCAGATCACCTGGCTCACATCATGCATATAGGGTTGAAACGAATTTATGCTGGGGAATGTACAGTCGAGATCAAAAGTTCGCTCCCTCCCATTATCAAACACTATCAACCCCAAATGAGATAAAACAGCACACCCGCACCAGATGACAATCAGGGTAAGTAAGTTCGGAGACTCTTGCCGTGACTCAGTTTTACTACAGGGAACGAACTCTTGTTCACTACTGTACATATGATCATCATCATCATTTTATGGTCTTTTCCAGAGTTGCATGTGCGAACCACAATTACATGATGGCAGCTCTTCATGCTGCATGGTCTCTCTTGTGAGGTTCTTAACTCAAAAAGTCATGGTAACAATTAATTCATATTTCACATATTAAAATACATTATAAAGCATAAGAAATATTTTTTTTAAAGTACCTATACTGTGCTAATGAGCCTGATTTTCTATTCTTTACATGATGGGAGGTCACATATTCCTCTACAGTAATCTCACGTGACCTTACATTGAAGGGCTCCCAACCACCCCAAGACCTGAAGTGATATGTGAGTGAGGTCCCAGTTGGAACAGTTCATATCTTAATTTACTATTAATAACTTCACACACCAATGGATATACCTCTGGTAGTAGTGAACAGTTGTTTCAGTTAAAATAATAATACAAGTGCCCATTACAACACTGCGACCACCTTTCAATAACATTGGCAATCTTACAAATAATTAGACAATACTGGCACACATAACAGATACAGTACAGGGAAATCATGAACAATATTCATCTATATTGACAATAATGAAGAGTATATAATGCGAGTGTGTGTGAATAAATGCCCTGTAATTTAAGTAACCGTGAAAAAAAATATATATAAATAAAAAGTCATGAAATAACCCAAGGCTATTGTACATACGTTATTTACAGTCAAGGACAATTGTTCGCAAGAATGAGTCTCCGAACTTAACTACCTTGACTGTTATCTGGTGCGGTTGTGTTGTTTTACAGGTGTCCCCCTAATTACGTAGGGTTGCGTTCCTGAAAACCTTAATGTAAATCAGGTTCCTTTTAACATGGGTTTCAATGGGATATGGTCCTGGCCTGTCCGATACAGACATGTAACACAAAAAAATGGATAGTACACTAATTAAATACAAGTAAAAAATAAACAACATTCAACACATTAATAATAACAAGCCTACTGCTTAATAATGTTCAACTTCATCTCCAGAGCCACAGTATTCCTCGAAGACTTTGCCTTTCCCAGAGGCGGGATAGTCAGCAGGATGCTTGCGAGCCATTTTCAAAGTTACAGAGTTACTGTACATTGATCACTTCAGTCACCAAAACAGAGCAAAATGTGAATGATAATGTTTTACTCTAACCAGTAACAACAAAGTATCAGCAATCACATAGTTGTGCAACGATTAATAATAACATTTGTTACATGAGCAAGGGCAGATGCGATCACATTGAAACAAAGCGTAGGATTGCAGTTCGTATAGCAGCCGTGAGGCGGCGTGCAGGTAGGTGAACTGCGCAGATATCGGAAAAGCAGTTTCTGCGCATATCCACTATCCTGGATTTGATAAGTGAAAAGAAATATTCGCTTCCCGTGTTTACATTCCGCGTAAAAAGTATGATCCTAAATAGGGGAGACCTGTATCTTGTTTGGGGTCAATGCTGCTTCATTTTGGGAGGGAACAAACTTTTGACCCAATTGTAAAAAATTATAGCTAGGGTTACATTCCTGAAAACCTTTGCAATGTGTGAAATTGTGAAATTTTCCCATAAGGAACAATGGATTATGGTTTATGGGGATGTATTGTTAGCAAGGAAGTTTGAGGGTACTTGAGTTTATTTTTCATACAGAAATACCTGTACTGTACTTATAAATCAATAAAAAATATGAAATACACTACATAAAAATATTTTTTAAATATTATATATAATACAATTGAGAGGTACTGTACGGTATATGCATGGTCATCCTCACATGGTCTTTCATAACTGACCACCTGAGCCACCCACCACACCCTACCATCAACACCATATATTGAACGTATACACATTTTTACCACTTATGACATGAATAGAGTTAGCATGTAATATATGTAAGAATCCATAAAGGAATTACCGTATGAACATTGTGGTATTGAGGATTTCTTGAGACTGTGTGTGTATTTTCCTCCTGGCTATTTGTGAACTGACAGATCTCCACTAATCTAGAAGGTTGTCATGTACAATTTGTATATCTTTTTTATGAAAGCAATGTGAAAAAACAAACCCAATTGCAATACTATACAGTCCCCCAAAAGAGTATTGTAAGCCATGGGGTGGATGGGATTCGAGGCTTTCCAAGCAATGTCGCTTAACCAATATCTGAACAGTTGGTAGTTCTTCATCTGCGACCTTTGAGCATGAATGAGTATACAGTATACATTTTCTAACGATGTGAATCCTCCTAGGCTTAAGATCATAAACGAGGAATTATTGAAGAGACATCGCAGTATGTTAGAGGAGCTATCATTGCCCTTTACTGCAAGGGTATACATAATACTGATATAGCACGGCAAACGGGGGTGAGCAAACCCACAGTATCACGATGGGTTATGCGCCATGAAACAACTGGTGCCACACTGAAACTTATAACCACGAAAGTCTTGGTGTTGGTGGATGGGGGGGTTCTGTTGCCTGCAAATCCCTAAATTTGAAACTCTATTTTGGTGTTAAACCAATGCAATTTACATATTAGTAACATGGCATATCCCATGTAGAACAATATATTGTACTGTATATTGCTGTAGCTTTTCACTCTAATATCAAGTACTATTTGCTTAGTCACTCTTCATAAGTCAGACATTTTGTGAACAACACAAATAGGTATACTGTATTGTGAAACTCCATTGGTACAACGACATAATTGTGAAATGTCCAATTCGAGGTCTGTCTCAGTCTCAGTTATGATGTTCCAAAACATTTCCATTTAATGTATATTTCAGTGTTATTGTAATCATCAGCCAGTGGCTTGTTTACATATGCCTTGCTACTACCCAGCACGATACATACATTGATATAGCTTAATGGATTTCTTGTTATATTGAAGTATTTAGTATGCCATACAAGGATAACTCCCTCCCCCAATTCTACCCCCATCTCTAGCTGTTGTTGATATGGCGAGCAGGTGTACCAACTTACAATGATGTAGCAACATAAAATCTAGCAATACTTTCTTGGGAGGACTGTACATAAAAAAAATTTCATTAGAAACATGTTTTTTAACCTTTTTAGACATTTTGGAGAAGGTGGTGTTTTTAACGTATCTCAGCTTTTACGATGGGAATCTGGGGAAAATGGGATCCAATTTCCAAAAAGGTTTTCAAGGACAGAATTTTTTTGTAAATCAGGGACTGTACGTACATACATACATATGTACATATGTATGTATGTATGTGTATACAGCTTTTAAAATTTAAGTGAACCAATATCTTAGACACAGATAGGAAATTGACCAATGGTGCTTAGTTCAGTAAAGTAGCACAACTTTGTTTCCATACGAATTCACTCATTGGAGGTATCATGACAGGAACTGAAACGTCTGACTTGAAAGCGAGACACAGTTATGAAATAACCGACTCGAGGATACTCAGATAGTATCTGAAACAACTAACTCTCGATGATGTTGAGATTTTCCCTAATTTGAAGGTGTTAAGTTAGCAATTGAAACGCCTAACTTGAGGGTACTGAATTTGTGACAAATACCTGACTCCTGAGAGTTGAAATGGTAACTGACAAACATGACTTATGGGATTATTGAGGTAGTAACTCAATGCCTGACTATGGGGGACGTTGAAATAGTAAGGGAAACATTTGACTCGTGTCGGGTACTGAAATATTTGTAGTCTAATTGAAACATCATTTATAAACTTCAGATTGTTCTGGGGTTTGAGATAGTGAGACATCAGATTTAAGGTAGTCAGTATGTGGAACATCTGATTCTTAAGGGAGATGAAACAGTTGGTAACTGAGGCATGTAAGCACGACTCACTGTTACCTGCTGTGAATGCAGGAGGACATGACAGGGGTGTTGGTATTATTCCTTCTACCCTGTAAAAAATTACCAATTACAAAAAAGAAATATATGTATGCACAAACAAAATGGAAAAGTATGGAATTTTATAATTACTGCATACAGTTTACTGTAATTACTTGGTACTTTATATGGTTTTATATGAAACAGGTCATTTTCCTATATATCCAATATAAGATCTATGGCTGGTAGGAGATAAGCTGGTCCATGTTGACCAGGGTAATATTACAGTTACTGAAATCAATATTTTTATCCATTTAAAACTCTTTTTATCAATAACAATTCTTTTATTTTCATTGACATTCAGGGAGTAAGATTCACTTATTTTTTTTTTACATTCTACTACAGTGTCACTACTACCCTGTATATTCTGTTCACTTAACCTAGACATCTGGAGCCTTGAGACATTGTGAAGAAAGCTACTGAATGGGTGATACAATAATGCCTGGGGAACTTGGTAAATCTTCAGCTCTTTGTGATTTCACTTAATACTCAGGACAGGGTATATATGAAAATTTATTGCATCCACTAGCCTTATAAATTAAGGCTTGTTAATAAATTAATGATGATTTGTACCTGAAATATTGGTTTCTAAATCCTGTATGTACTAATATTACAATGTATATTAAACATACCACTGTAAGAAACCCCAAGGAATTTAGAGATAGCGAGAGGACAAGGGTTGCGAAAGATAGTCGAGCTCTGTGCCCGAGACAATGGTTCACTAGTGGCGAGTGGTCGATAAATGGTAGGTAACCAAATTGACACCTACCTCTCAACACTCGCCACCCCCATTTTATCCCGGTTGTGTCTGCCAATTCTGAACGTCCTTTTGTTCGCCCCCAGATGTCTACCTTAAGTGAACAGAGTATATTTACCAACCCTGACATAATATGCACAACCTTGCACACACTGTTATACAGTAACTCTTTTGTTCTAAAGCAATATCTTAAGACCACTGTTTTACAGCAGCTAATTTATTTTCATAAAATCACTACAGTACTACAGCTGATTTTTACAAGAACCTTACAACAAATGTTATAAATTTTACAACTTGACAACACTGCTGGAGCTTTTTTTACATCTCAATCCTAACTGTTGATTGCAGCCTTACCTAATTTTGTTCTATTTAGTCTTCAATGTACTTGTCGTGGGCACTTTTCAAGTCTTTCATGTTTTAAAAAAATCTAACTACTGATGGAAAAAACAGAAGTCACTTATTCTGGAATATATCTTATGTAATACTGTGAGATGACTTGCAATAATGGACAGGATCATCTGATGGCCTAAGTTTTTTTTTTAAAAAGGTTATAAAGACTTATATTGAGCACAGTGATTTAAATCAGATGCAAAACTTTGTAAAATGTTTAGAAACTTACAGTACTTTGTCCTCACATTCATTATCTCCAGAAGCTGCAGGAAAGATGTCTATTACAAGTTATTTACAGTTATGGATGATGATATCCACTGAAGTCATAACATTAATAAAACAAAAGGTTAATCTGATGAATGAATTTTTTAATCTCAACTCAATGATTTCTCATCACTAATACATTGGTTAAATTCTTTAAATTAATTCCTGTTGATAAGAGCAGCAATAATCTCAAATACTTTACTAAATTATTTTGTGTTTTGATATGGGTAAATTAATAGTCAGACCTGAACCCAGAACCAAATTTTCATACTAAACCTACAGATTTGGTTAGATTAACTCATGTTACAGGTATGTTAAGGGTACCTTAAATCAGGATATGTTAAAGGTAGGTTATGGGCAGCTAAGTTAGCTGATGTTATGGATAGGTTAAGGGTAGTTTAAGTTAGCTAGTATTATAGGTAGGTTAAGGGTTCATTAAATTGTGTTACAGATAAGTTAAGGGTAGCTTAGGTTAGGTGTTGTTTGGGTTTTGTTAGGTTACCAGTAGTTTAAGGTAGATATGGCTAAATTACAGGTAGGATAGGTTAGGTTCCAGGTCTGGATCCAGGGGTGAGTTCCCTATGATATCTCGTGTGTGTGTGTGTAATGAGTTACAATTGACCTAGTTTCTATTAAATTGAAAAAAAAAACCCTGAGAAATAGCAAACAAATCATATATTGTTATGTATTGTAGTATTGTAGAAGCAAATGGGCATACAAAATGAAGGTTTATCACATTTTTTTTTATGAAATACCTCTTAAGGCATCAAGATCTGTCTGTACAATATTCACATTATTATTAAGGTTACTTCATAAAAATGTGATTAACCTGGTGCTGACACTACCATCATCATCATCACGTTATAGCCATTTTTCATGCAGGCAGAGTAATGACTGCTGACCAGTATACAGTACAATATATATACAATTAGGATGTTGGCTATAATCTTGCCAGGCTCATAATACATCAGAGAAGAAATTTACTAACCTGTAAACTGCCAGAATGAGGACACGGTGTCAATAAACCAATACCCTTTCATATCACATCACAATTACTGTACTAAAACACAAAATTGGGGTACTACTGTAATGTTGGTATGTGCATATACCAAGGTTTTGGGTTGCAGAAAAACATACCTGTAGTAAATTACACAATATTTTTTCTATAAGACATTTAGACAACATAGTGAGACAATCTACATAACTGAGAATGTTACCTCACTACACTTCAGAGTGTACAGCAAAACAATATCAAGCCCAGAATTTGACTTTCCAATGATTCAAGTCCACGACCATTACAAACTTAAATTTAAAATTTTTGTTCCAGTCCATCGTAAACATAAATCAAATGATATACAGGTATACATTAAATGCAGCAAAACCCTAGTACAGTATCAGCATACCTTTTCATGAATGTATTTTGACTATTCATTAATTTACTTTCTAGTTTTTATTTTATTCAAAATGCATATTTCAAAGGTCATGGCTTTGATAAATTTCTTGAGTAGAATTTTTTTTTTATGTTTAAGTCCCAAATCTCAAAGTCAGTCTCCAATTCTGGTTTGTTATTATGTCAGATCTAACTAAAAAATGGGTGTGATACTAGTACTGTACCATGTAAGTAGAGACTCTCAGTAGGCTTTTGTCATGTGATCAAGCTCCAATTCAACAGTGACTCCAAAGTCCTCTTGAAACACATGCCAGGTTTTGCTTTTGTGTGGGTTGTCCAACTCCAGTCGATTCAAATCAAGTCTGAATATCCAGAAATTATATTTAATGATCTTATAATGATGGTCCTAGTTGTGGAAGAGACTACATTAAGTCATCTTTAACAAACTTATAATTAAAAATTAATTAACCAAGGGTTTAGAGTTAACTTGAAGGAAGAAGTTATATCAAGGGAGTTACATTTTTGCCAAATGTTTAGGCAGAAGACCTGAAGAGGATCTGAAGATATTGGGGATCAAGGGGTCCCACAATTACCTACTATAGGTAGAAATGACTAGTTATTAAAGCAATAGGAGACAATACAGACCCTTGGTTATGAAATGAATAAAGGAACTGTATGTTTAGAGATCCACTAGTCATCTTAAAACATTTTTATGTTAAAGCATCAGAAAATGGAAGATTTTTGTTCCTGAAATAATTTTAAATAGTCCAGACATTGGAAAAATTGGTGAAATTGGCCACTAGCCAGTTAACAATGAAAACCCTGAATTGAACAAAGATTATTAAGCAATTTAATTATCAGTCTATTAGCTACTTAGAGTACAGTACAGTACATGTATTTGGCTACTCTGCAATGACAAGGAATTGTGGTTCTGAAAGCAATTTCTCAATACTGTATACCAAAGTTAAAGTGCTGATATGAAAAATACAGTAATAATAATCAATTTGTTACTCTTCTTTCACTACTACTTTAAGATTGAACTTCTTAATTACTTAGTCAGAATCAGCTTCAGATTTGCATACTGTACTTTAATAAAAATATAACCCCAAAAGTAAAGATTTGGGTATATAGTACATACAGTAATTCCCATATGGTGACAACATTATTGAGTATTTTTTTTTTACATTTTTACTTATTTAATTTTCATCACTTGTCAGATTACTATCCAGTCAGGCAATCAGTCTGTTCTCTGTTATACACTGTTGGCAAGTACTGGCATGTATGAGCTCTAATGCTTATAAACTACTTTACTACCTGTACTTATAGTAACTCAGCAATTTAAAAACCACACTTACACACCCTGAGGCCGACCTCAACATTTACCTGCCACTGTTGATGAAGCCAGTGTGGAACCAAAAGAAGAACGGACTTTTCTCATACCCTCGTGGAATCTTTCTCTGCCATGTAAATGACTCAAATTAGAATACCGTGAATAGCATGAAATGTTCAACCAATTACAGTACCTGTACAAGGAAACATCTTCACAAGGTAAAATAAGTTGAGGAAATAAATAAGGTCAGAAAAACAGACCAGAACAGAAGATAATGCAAGTAAAGTTGAACATTTAAAAGGAGCTTAGTAAACTATTAAATATTCTAACCAATGATTGGATTGAAGTGATCAGTAAAAGAATATACCAACAGATTGTTCCCAGCAATCAAAATCTAAAAAATTAATTTCTGTACTGGTATAAGGAATCTGTGTAGTACTGTATTTTTCGATGGGTTCCTAAAACCATATAATGTACACAGTATAAAGTAAAGGTATATCAATTCTAAGGAGCAAAGAGTGTAGCTCTAATTAAAACTGGTATCAAATTAATATATATTGAACAATATTAACAAACAGCATCTTCTTCATTAGGTAATAAACCAAGGAAATATAACATGCACTGTGGCCCCTTCCTTGACCAGGAGCAAAATGATGAAATTCTCCTGTGTAAGCAAATATATTTATACAGGCAATTCAACTAGTAGGAGTTTTGCAGTACTGTATAGTTAGTTTTCTTCACAAAATACTACCTGTACCTTCAAAAGATACAGTACATCAAAACTCTTCATGCAATTACATTATTTTACAAATTATGGAAATTACATTGGAAACGAGATAATAAATATATAACTACATGTATGATTTTCTTAAAGTTTAGTGAAAACCTGTAAGCATTAAAAAGTTTTGTCTACTTACACTATCAGTGAAGAACATAATTCTAGTGTCGCCTCGAACTACAGGGGCATTGACCAACTGGATGTGTACTAGAGCATTGATCTTCTCTACTATCACCTGGAAGCAGGCAAGGTTAAAAAACTGGTCTACTATTTAAAAAAATATATATTATTTATATTAAAGTAAAGGTTAAACAGTATTGTATTTTAAATCTGGTTGACTACAATGATAAAAGATAATAATAAGTAATAAATAACCGATTCTTTCTTCAAGAATCACTGTCAAATAAAGGTGAACCTTATTAATAAACTACTGTACCCGGATCCTATATACTCCTGGACAGTCCATTTCTTAACAAGACTCAAACTTGAGCTAGGTATTCACAATATGGTCATGCACGGCAAATTAAAAATTGAACCAGGAAGCCTTTCTCAAGTTACCGAATGCAAATGAATTTTATATGGATAGACTAGGGATAATCATTTAATTGTGCCCCTTTCCTTCAAGTTTCTATGGTAAAGACATAATGATTACCCAAAAAGGTGAACTACAACTGCATATCCTACTGTAGTATGAAACCATAAATCAACCAAAACTAATTACACCCTAAATTAATTTCACAGAATGTTAGGGAACTGTGTGAGAGTGCAATATCTGTGACTTATACTGCCACAAGATAGAACTTTTTTCTTGCTGTTTTTTTGTCTGTGTGATAACTTTAACAACATTAAATGGATATATCTCATATTTGGTAAGTACAGTATATATTTTTGTACCCACCATGGAAAGAAGCCTTTCAGTAATGGGCCAGATCCAACTATCTAATACAAAGGGCATTCAGAAACAACATTTTTTCTACTTCAAGCAAATGTGTTCAATTTCTCTTTCTACTGTACTGTACTACCTTCTTACCTTGCAATTCCTTTGAGTGGCTATATTTGCTTGGAAAGGAATGGTGTGGCCCCGACTCTGCACAGTGAAATAAAACTCGGAGCCATCACCAGCACCCACAGAATGCATGCCACGTAAGGTGATTCTAGTAATGACCATTGGTGTCTCAGGAGGCAACTGCCCACCAGCTCGCACCACGTGCTCATAGTAACCAACATACCGACTCTAGCAAAAGAATACGTTACATGTTACAATGATTTAATATTAAGAATTTTATGTATTTCAACAGGTTAAATCTAAATGACTTACATCAGTGCTGCAAATACTGCAGTGGCATTATATTTAGCCATTGCATTTAAGATAAGTAACATCAGCATCAACAAAACTCAAATTTCAGCTCACTTTTAAAGCAACACAATAACACTGCCATAACTCATTAATATATACTTGACACACTAAACCAGAGGGAGCATTGAGCTTCACTAGAGTTTACCTGCTTGACTGCCACCATCATGAAGCAGGAAAGGGTTCACAGGAATAAAAAAAAAATATTGAGTTTTAACTACTTTTATGATTTAGATTTTTTCTACACAATTTATACCTCTACTCCATTTCCAAAGGTTTGAGATAGATTATGGGGAACAGAAATCTAAAGAAAGGGAGGAAATAGTCAGGAGATAAATACAAAAAACTGATACATGCCTAAAATGTAGAAAAGAAGAGGAAGGGGCATAAACAAGTAGAAACACAACATACACTCCCTCACAACCCCAACTTTCACTCAAAGAATTAAAACTGTACCAGTAATATATATTCTACCTAAACTTACTACAGTACAGTAATTTTATGATTGTAATCGAGTGTAAACGTTACTCGCATTTTTTTCACGTACACAAATTCTTGAGGCTTCATTTATCGGTCAGCTGATAGATTACAACTAATTATGAAGTTCACCTACATATAACTTACCTGACTGGGTGTTTCCACTCCTTGGAATTTGGAAGCCACATTTTTGTCTGTGCGCCGATCCCCAAAGTAACCGAGGCAATGTTCCGCATCACGGAATATCCCAAGGTCAATGAGAAAGACGCATATCATAGTACCCGTCCGCCCCTTGCCACCTTTACAGTGGACAGCTATCACGTTTTTTTCGTCTTTATTCATCCATTCACGTACATTGGCACTAAATCTCACCATGTCTCTGAGAAAGCAAAAACAATGTGTGGGAATAACTAAATAATGAAAATACCCAGGTATAATTTAACCAAATATCAATACAAAAATACTGTATAAACATTAAAATGAAACCTTTAATGCCCAATAAAAAACTCACGAAAGTGGAGGAACATTGTGGTCGTCAATTAGGAAGCGTTCAACTCTATTATGGAAAAGCGTTACATCATAATGCCGTTCTGAGCAAAGGTTGTAGAGGCGATAATGACCAGAATGTTGATTATCCATAAAGCGGGCAACTTCCTGCAAGAGAAGCCTTCACTATTAACCAATCTATAGTGAGCCATTCATAAAACCCGAAAGTTTTGTATTTTTCACTGAACAGTACTAGAATCAACACAGTACAACCTTACAATTGTGGATTATTTTTATATACTGTACTGTATAAATTTCCAGTGTAAAATCTTAAGATAATCACTAAATTTCTCTTGCATCGATGTCTCAAAATACAAAAATGCTCATGAATATATTATAATGACTACTGGTACCTTAACCCTTAGGCCCGGGTGACGTTCCAGAACGCCCGACTATTTTCCCATTTTTATTTTTATTTTTTTTAATATTTTTGGAAGTTGATTGTTTTTCTTGATTTATCCCCGTGGGTGGGGGGGGTACTGCCAGCAGCACCCTAACCCAGTGCTTAAGGATTAAGCCAGTTCTGTCAAGTTGATGGGACTTTTAATAGTTCCATTAGAATAACACAACAGCAAATACAAATTGTGCATTATGACCAAATGATAACCTTAGAAAGTAGTGCATACATTCTTACCTTAATATCATTTCTGTACATAGACATCTTTCCTGTAGATGGGAATGACATTGCAATGACTCTGGGAGTGACATAAGTAAGGTCAAGGTCAAAGCCATTCTGTTGATAACGTCTCTTGTTTTGGGAGACAAACTGTCGCGCACCAGTTTGTAAGTGCTGTCGCTCCCAGAGAATCCTGGTTATTCTCACCAAGCGAACAAGTCGCAGAGCTACAATTAAACTGCAAGAAACATATCAATGAGTTATCTCCTACTAAAAATACTATATAGTTTGTCTCTTAGGATATCCTAACCCTTCCTTACACTCCATTTGTGCCAAAAGTTATATATAATGATGAAAATTATATTTAACAGTTTATTGTGGTGAATCAGGATGTGAACTAGAATGGATTTATTGGGTAAAATACCTGGCATTGCAGCCTGTGGTTATTTGATGTTGTGGTCAAGAAAAGATAGTGTAGGAACACAGAGCAGATGTTTCCTTACATCACACCTCAAACTTATTTGTCTTACACATATACAGGGTATCCATAAATGATTACCCTGATTATGGTCATAACATGCTTTAATCAGGGTAATCATTTATGGACACCCTGTATAATTGTAGACAACTGCTGAAGTGGCAAGAGCAGGAAAGAATCACTCAGGAAGAACCACATCCAGGTGTTGGTTATAGGTTCTGTATTAAAACACTCGTATCCTGTCTATTGTTGTTACTCAGAATGAAAGAAGTTTCGCATCAAAATGTTATAAAATAAACTTCCAACTCTAATCTGTGTTTACCATCACCATAAACTACTCCTCTGTCAATATGGATAATTCACAAAAAAAAAAGAGAGCCAATTGATAGAACATCCAACAGGGGGCCACCAAACTGATGCCCAGCACTCAAGACACCTCTCATACCATTTCAACTGCCTAGTTTATGCTAAAAAAAGGGCATATAGTTATTCAATAAAAGTTTATAAGCACATCAAAGGGAATTACAGTACTCAGTCATATGTACATGATTAATCTCTAAAATTAGATGCAAGAAATATTATAACATTACAAATTACATCAGAACACACATTTCATTACCAAAAACAAATGGACAATATACAATTTGTGACTCACCTGGCAGGGTTGGAGGCCATGTTCTCCACACACACAGTCACCACAGAGAGGATGAAGGTAAACACAACCAGGAAACAATCCAAGACATTGTGCCACGCCCTGAAGAACACTCGTGGCCTGTTAGGGTTATGGTACACTGTTGAAAATGCAGCTAGAAGGGATAAATAAAACGAGAATCTATTTTGTTTATGAATCCAGCCACTCTGAACCACAGTGGAAAACATAATGCAAGAGATTATAAAAAGTTACCACTGACACACAGCTGATAAGTTAATGATACAGGGTGACGAGCAGGTGAACAAGGCAAAATAGGAAAAAGGAGGAAAAGGAAAATGGAGAAAGAAAGGTAAGGATGAAGCTGGAGGAGGCGAGAGAAGGGGGTAGAATGTAGCCTTATGAGAACTGTGAGAAGGAAAAGAAATAGTAACAGTATTAAGCTGTCACCACCAGCTGTCAGGAAATCCAATCACCCTTGAGGCAACAAACTTTATCTACAATATGCCTACCAGTATCTCCTTCACCTCAATTTCTGCATAGTACACCTATTGTACTTATTTACATGAAAGCTGAGGAAGTAATGCATTAATCTCAATAAAAACATTAAATTTTCATGGTGACTAATCTTTTCTAAAAAATTTTCAGCTAACTTTTGTATTTCATCATGCGAGTCTCCATCAATAACATTTAACTAAAATTACCTACAATATACAGTACTGTACAGTACATGATATACTATACACTGTATTTACACTCTCACCAAAAACTTCTCTAACACCTGGGCACGATGGATGTGAGAATGAGCAGAATGGGGGGTTGTCATCTCAGAATGGTTTAAGATTCTATGTTCATTTTCAGATTGCATTGTGCTTATAGCGTTCAATAGGTTTTTGGCGAGTGTACCTAAAAAGTACTGTACAATTTATTAACTTACCCTAATCCAAATATCCTTAATATAACCTCAATCATGAAGTACGTAGAGAAGGCCAGGGAGCAGTATTCGATGGGATCATTATTGATGGGGTTGTTGAAGAGATCCACAAAGAGAAGGATCATGTCTACAAAAATCAGCAGGGCTGTCAGTAGTCTGATCACAAAGTGTTCAACAAACCTTCGAGTCCGCCACTGCATGTAACTGCAAAGAAGAACAGTTAACAGTTATGTAATATTAAATGAGAGAGGAGGGGGTTTTAGGTCTTACACTACCTCATATAAAAAATCTAATGGGAAAAGATTTATATCAGATGTTGTTAGTTCATTATCTGTCTGATGAGATTTGTTTTCAGCCCTGTACATCAGTACAGTACTGTACTAGGAAACCGGGTAATTGATACAAAATTCTCTTAAACATTTTTATCACAAGTGTGTTCTTTAAAGATAATAAGAGATAACCACTTTGTTCTACCTCTGAACCTCCCCCTCAATTATCCCCCTCCATAGTTACTCACACTGCACAGCACTGTAATACTGCATCTGATACTTTAGTTTGTCAGAATTTTTTTTTAAAAATTCACAGGGATTTATCACAGCAGTTTTATGACTCTGTAGCTCGGTTGACTCACTAAAGATTGAAGCCTGGAATGGGTGGATTAGATGGGTCCACAAAACCCATCTCCACCTCCAACTCATGCTCGTCTGCATCATATTCCAAAAACTTGGTTGTTCGCTGCCAAACCTGGAAGAACAATGAATGTACAGCATGAAAATTCAGAACTAAAAATATGTGACAAATACTATATGAAAATAAAAAGTTATTATTTCCACCATTTAGTTGTTAGTTCAACCACCCAGTTACTAGTTCATTAGTTCCACCACCCAGTTATCGGCTCCACCTACCAGTTACTACTTCCACCACCCAATTACTAGCTCCACCACCCAATTACTAGCTCCACCACCCAATTACTAGCTCCACCACCCCGTTATCGGCTCCACCTACCAGTTACTACCACCACCCAGTTACTGGCTCCACCACCCAATTACTAGCTCCACCACCCAATTACTAGCTCCTCCACCACTTACTAGCTCCACCACCCAGCTCCACCACCCAATTACTAGCTCCACCACCCAATTACTAGCTCCACCATCCAATTACTAGCTCCACCATCCACCACTAGCTCCACCATCCAATTACTAGCTCCACCACCCAATTACTAGCTCCACCATCCAATTACTAGCTCCACCACCCCGTTACTAGCTCCACCACCCAATTACTAGCTCCACCATCCAATTACTAGCTCCACCACCCAATTACTAGCTCCACCATCCAATTACTAGCTCCACCATCCAATTACTAGCTCCACCATCCAATTACTAGCTCCACCATCCAATTACTAGCTCCACCACCCCGTTACTATCTCCACCACCCAGTTAATGCATAATCCTCCCAGTACAGATGACAAGACCTGCCTGCTGCTGTTCGTCGTCCTCTCCGTCAGTAGGGCTGCCTATGGTGTCTCCTTCCTCCCCACTTTGATTGCTCTCCTTCATGACCCCAATCTCATCGATCTGAATGACATCCTGATGACTTGTGTTCCTGAGACGAGAGAGAGATACTTCACATAAGTTCTCACATAATGATGATGGGGGTAAGGTATGATTGCCCCCATAAAAGTGATGAGAAAGAATGTAGAAGAAATAATAACTACAAGAAAACTATACAGAAGGTTAATAATGATGATTTGGGTAAATAAACGGGTATTAATGATATGGCCAAGTAAAGATGGGTAAATAATGATGGTACGACAAAGCACATGGGATAAATGAACACGATACAACACACAGTAAAAAGTGACCGTGACCCCCTTCCATTTCTTTCTCCATTTTTACAGGACACGTATCTAGCTTCTCTAGATAATCCTATTTTATAGCCTTTCGATACATTGACTCAGTCTTACGCTGTATAAAACATGGAGATACTATTTCTTGTCCTACAAAAAAAAATGGATGTTGGAACGCCTTATGCTTTCAGGGGATGATTTTCCGTCTTCAGCCACCTCTATAAACCACATTGTTGTCTATATTATATAATTTTTCAGTTATTTGGTGTAATTCATAATACTTGTACTCCCCAGCAATCTACTCTCGGGTGTAGTCCAAATTACCTGTCGGAGGCGGCGTAGACGTGGCCATTCTGCTGGAAGTTGAGCTGGGAGGGGTCGAGGGAGTCAGTGGGCGAGGTGGGTACCCCTCCTGAGGCCTGCTCAGACGAGGACATGGTCATCTCATTGTCAAACTTCTGGTACCGGATGCTGGCATTGATGAAATAAAATATTGTCACTTGTAGGCATTATCTGACTAACAGACAGACAAACATACAAGGTCATTAGATGTAGAGGCAGCAAGAAACGACATCCTGTCATCTGCTTCCTAATGGGTGAACAAAAAAACACACTAGATACACGTTGGCTAAGGTAATGATCTGCCGATAGGAGTAGTGTGTGTGTGTGTGTGTGTGTGTGTGTGTCCGCCTTGACTCACGCCAAACCTTGACACGACACAATATCTTCCATGCAACGTCAACCCATCTCCTTCCTCCTCAACTCCACCGGGATATCAGGAAGGCCTGGTGACGCTTAGGAAGAGTCTGGTGCAGTAGTTTAAAACATAATGGATCAGAACACCTTGGAGATCACGGGGAGAGTTACAACTTACAATGGAAACCTGAACTAAATCAAAATTAACAAAGGAAGACAGAAATAAAACAATTTTTGTGCTAAATAATGTACAATTAATTTAGTATTATTTCAGTTTATGTCTTTACCAGCTGGACCACATTCCGGATTATAACACTGCGCCACAAGATGACCCTCTCAAGGCTCACCAACTAAGTCTTGCTTCTCGGAATTGTGAGTCTCGCCAAGTTGTGGTGTTCTCCAGCCTGCTTGCTACGAGGACAAAGTTTGCGAGTAACGTGAATCTAGAACACGACCTTTGATGGGGTGTCGCTGTGACTCAACACCCAGAATTGATCTTCTGCTGGGACAAAGGCGAGGTCCAATTGTCCCGCTCACTCACTGTCATCAAGTAACAGTGGACTGCCTTCTTAAATCTTGGTTATTTTGTTTCGGTAACTAAAATAAATTACATAATAAAATTAACGTCTGTATCACAGAGCGATAGAATCAAGGGACGAATTCTCACAGTACGTCGTGAAGATGGTGAGGAAAGGAATCCTGAATGACAAAGGTCGAAGCTTACTGATCTACTGGACTGGGATATTAACCTTACTTCCTCCTCCTGCCCTTTGAGGCCTCTGTATCCCTTGATCCAACTCACACAAAAGCGGGAGACGAGTAAAGGTGATAGATGAAGAGACAGACAGAGACAGACAGACAGACAGTGTGTGTGTGTGTGTGTGTGTGTGTGTGTGTGTGGAATACGTACCCCCCCTTTCCCCACCACCAGGTAAGTGGAGGCAACACCTGGTACAGCATCACCTTACCGAAGCACACCACTGTAGTAAATCGTTATTTCTTGCGAGTCATCTCTGTTAACATGACCTGACCTGACCTCTCAATAACAAAACTGATTATATAATATGTTTAAACCAAAATACAGATACAATCATACTATATAAAGAAATTAATGGCGAATCTTAAACAATGTAAGCAGTAATGGTGTAGAAACCTCCTACCCACGCCACATCAACCAACAAGCGGCCACCACGCACACAAGCTACCTCGACGATATCAACAGAACAGGATAATTATTGAACTGTGGTGGTGGTGACGGCGGTGGTGGTGGTGGTGGTGACGGCGGTGGTGGTGGTGATGATGATGACGGTGGTGGTGACGGTGGTGGTAGTGTTGTTATTTATATTACTAATACCAATACCAGGGTGAGTGTGTGTGTGGGCCGGCCAGCACAGGTGTTCCCCTCTCACACCTGGTGCCACCATCAACATCTGGCACAAAACTGACCCAATTATTACCTGCCCTTCTCACTCGCGCACTGTACAGGTAAACATAAAGCACCATAACCACGTGTCTTACTAGATAATTATTGTAACCTATTTCTCACCATCACTACCCCACTCAAGTCACACATACACCCACCACAATATATACTCTCTCTCTCTCTCTCTCTCTCTCTCTCTCATGCCTTGGTCAGTTTTTTACATGTCTAAACACAAATAAAGTGGGGTTAGGTTAGGTAAGACCAATTGGGTTAGGTTTGTTGGCGTTAGGGTGTTTATTTAATCTTGCGGTGAAATCATAAGCTTGGGGACGGATCTTCAAAGTAGCGGTGAGGTAAGTGAGGCCGAGACATGTTTACCTCGTGGTCGCCTGACGTCCTGAATAATGATATAAAAATCTTCATATCCCACATGAGAGACGGGGGTGGGGAGACGTGAGGGGGAGGTGTAGGTGGGAGGGGGAGAGGGGGGGGGTGTGGGGGAGGGGGGGAGGTGTGGGGTGAGGGGGGGGAGGTGTGGTGAGGGGGGGGGTGGGGTGGGAGGGGGGAGGTGTAGGGGAGGGGGGGGAGGGGGGAGGTGGGGTGAGGGGGAGGTGTAGGTGAGGGGGGGAGGTGTAGGGAGGGGGGGAGGTGTAGGTGAGGGGGGGTGTAGGTGAGGGGGAGGTGAGGTGAGGGGGAGGTGGTGTAGGTGGAGGGGGGAGGTGAGAGGGGAGGTGAAGGAGGGGGAGGTGAAGTGAGAAGGAAGGGGGAGGAGACGTGAGTAGGGAAGAGACAGGAGGGGAGAGGAGAATTGAAGGAAGAGTGGTGGAGTAAGAGGGGGGGGGGAGTAAGACAGGTGAGAGGAGGGAATGAGAAGTGCGAGAGAGAGAGACGATATTATTAATGAAATCCCCTTAACCTGTAATATTCCTGTGAGGTCAAGGGGTCAAGGTCATAACTCTGCAGAGGATAAAATGTAACCGCCTGGCACCTCGATTGAGTGATGTTTACTGTTTACATCACCTCCCATCTTTTAAACAACAACAATAATACAGATATAGACAACCAGAGGGACGGACACACCCACATCCAGACAGCCAACTCGGGTGCACAGGTGTCCAGCAGGTAGAGGAGGCGGTGGACCAGACCACAAAATCAAATCGTGAGACAAGAATCAGTGTGTGTGTGTGTGTGTCTCACGGGCGGGCTAGGTGGGTGGAGATAGTCATGACGGGACTAAAAGAAGTGGAGGGCGGCCGACACACACACACCTGAACCTCTAAACGAACCAGGACAGGTGAGCTTCTCGGTTCCTATGTTTGTTAAAAGAGTTGACCGCGATGCACTGTGGGATAACACTATTTTATCCCTACCAGACAGTACTGGACAGTCTACCCACGGAACATTAGCGTCCTGATCTAGGTGACAATTCATTTTACTTTTATCCTCGTTAGCCACTGATCGGCTCGTTAACCGCTTGGGCGATCGGTCACGTCACTTTGGGTGTGATTTTAAGAAATGTGTTATGACAGTACTGGTGGGAGAACACTTTACCATGCAGCACCAACTCTGGGTATTGACTGCAGTGCGCCACACGACTTCCCCGAGAGCACAACTACACCACTACTACTAATACTACACTACCACCTCCATCAACACGACCACCACCACTACACTACCACCACCACTACACGACCACCACCACTACACTACCACCAAACTACCACCATCAACACCACCACCTTGACGTAAAAGTTCCCAGAGTATTCATGTGGCGTTAACCATGAAGGGTATACCTCTAGAGACAGACATAGATACATAATTACACGTATGTATACAAGTAAATATACATATATATATATATATATATATATATATATATATATATATATATATATATATATATATATATATATATATATATATATATATATATATATACCCTTGTTGACTGTGTTGACTGAGTGAGTAAGTTGCAGTATATTGATCTTAGGTGGTGAGGCGTGGCGATGGGGTAGGGTGGGAGGGGTGGTGGTATACTGAACCAGACAGCAAGGGGAGATAGAGAAAGAGATAGCGAGACCGAGAGAGATATTATCATCCTCACACCTCAACATCAAGTGTCAATTACGAGTGTCACATCCCCCCCCTCCCTCCCTCTGCATTGGTTACGTTATTGACACTCAAGGTTACCAGATCTCGACGTGTCAATAATAAATAAATAAAATAAATCTTATCAACGTCACAAATAAATAAATCAATCAATCATTGGTGATATTTTGTTCTTATATCTACAAATGTTGGGATTATATGTCTATTTGTTTTTGTTTTTCTTTGTTTTCTTTGTTTGTTTGTTTGTTTATCTCCATGGGGTACAGGAGACGCTCGCCCCTCCCCTGTCGCCGCTCTTAACCAAGTCCCTGGCCTGAGGGTTATACAGTCCCCGCCCTGCCTCATGCTCCTCCCCCAACCCCACTGCGGGATTCCCCCACTCCCCTCACCCCCTTTCTAACCTACACACTTCCTCCTACCCCTCCACCCCCCAAAAGACACGCAACACCCGCCACACACACACAGACACACAGACAGACAGACAGACAGACAGACACAGACACACGCACACACACTTACCTGGATATCATTACCACGTATGATGTTTCATATTGGGGAGAGAATGAGATATGAGAATGAGACAAGGAGGAAGAGAAGGTGTGGGCAGGAGGGAGGTGTGTGGGGAGGGAAGGGTGTGGGGGGACGGGAAGGGTGGGGGGAAGGGTGGGGGGACGGGAAGGGTGTGGGGGACGGGAAGGGTGGGGGGGACGGGATGGTGGGGGGACGGGAAGGGTGGGGGACGGAAGGGTGGGGGACGGGAAGGGTGGGGGGACGGAAGGTGGGGGACGGAAGGGTGGGGGACGGGGGTGGTGGGGGACGGGAAGGTGTGGGGGGGACGGGAAGGGTGGGGACGGAAGGTGGGGGGACGGAAGGGTGGGGGATGGGAAGGGTGTGGGGGGACGGAAGGGTGTGGGGGACGGGAAGGTGGGGGGGACGGGAAGGTGTGTGTGTGAAGGGGGGGGATGTGGGAAAAGAGTGTGTGTGGGGTGAGAGAAGAGTGTATGGGGGTGAGGGAAGAGTGTGTGTGTGGGGGGGGGAAGGGGAGTTTCGAAGGAATGAGAAGGATGTTTGAAGGGGGTGTGTCAGGAGAGGGGTGTGTGTGTGTGTGAGAGAGAGAGAGTACAGGTATGTGGAGGAAGGGATGTGCAATGTACCGAAGTATGGAGGGAGAAATATACTATGTGTGTGTGTGTATGTATGTATGTGGGGGCAGAAACAGGAAGGCATCTAATACGTTACAATC